GTCTCCCAGCCCGGCATAGGGGTTGGCCACTGGTTAACAGCCTCATTACCGTCCCCGTTAGCATCACCGTTAGTTAGGGGGGAACTGAGACATCACTCACACCGCACCCCCCCCCCCCCCAAGAAGGCGGGAAAAGGGCAGGATCCCGCCCTCTATGCAAATATCATCCAGGCGATTGGCGGGCAGGCGGGGCCGGTGCCCTACACAGGCTATAAGAGCGGGGGGGAGACAATGCCCCCGCCGTCCCGGGTCGGGGGCTGGCGAACGGTGGAGTGGGTGCACTGGGGTGGGGGTCTCCCCCTCATCCATGGGGCTGGGGGTGCCCTTTTGCTGAGCGGGGCTGCAGGTCGAGCTGGGGGAGTGCCCCCTTTTCTTGCTGTTCCCCCATCCCCATGCAGAGATGGAGTTTGACTCCTACCAACACTACTTCTACGACCACGACGCCCAGGAGGATTTCCACCGCTCCACGGCGCCCAGCGAGGACATCTGGAAGAAGTTCGAGCTGGTCCCCACTCCCCCCATGTCTCCCTTGGGTGTCCCCGGGGAGAAAGGCTGCAGCTCCGGGGCGGAGGAGCGCTCGAGCGGGCTCTCCCGGTACTACCGGCCCGGGGAAGAGCCGGAGTATCTCATAGGGACGAGCGAGATCTTCGGGAACCTGAGCGCTTTCATCCTCAAGGACTGCATGTGGAGCGGGTTTTCAGCCCGGGAGCGGCTGGAGAAGGCGATGACAGAGAAACTTTCCACGGGCACGCAGAGGGCCACCCCGCACAAGCCCTCCTTCGCGCAGGATTTGGGGTTCAGCAGCTCGGTCAGCGAGTGCGTGGATCCCGCCGCCGTCTTCCTTTGCCCGCTGGCCGAGAGCAAGATCCCGGCGTCCTCGGGATCCGAGGGTCAAAGCGATTCCGGTAAGGAAGGGGTCGCGGGGTGGGTTCCCCCGGGCTTCTGGCCGTGATGCTCCCGCGGGTCGGACACGCGTGTCTCCGGCCGGGCAGCGCCTTTGTTGAGGGCCCCGGTCCCGGCCCCACGAACAAAGCGGGCTCGGCTGCTCCCGTTCCCCTCTTCCCCAACGGGGTGCGTGGGGCTCGGGGGTGCCCCCCTCGCTCGTCCCGTCCCTTCGGAACCCTCGCGGGGAGGTTGGTGAGGGGACACCCGGTCACCGTGGGAAGTCTGGAGGCTTTGGGAGCTCGTAACCGCTGCGGTTTTCCTTTCCCCGGGGACAAAAAGCAAAATTCCCCCCCCCCCCCCCGGGGGGCTCCGCGGGGCGGGCGGGGACATCGCGCATCCCCTGCAGCGTGTCCGGTGTGGGGTGGGACAGCGTTTACACGGGGGGTCGGGCTGAGGAGCTGCCTGTGACCCCAGGGCAGTGCGGTGCCACCCGCTCCTCGGACCCCTCATCACCCCATTTATAAACACACGCTTGGGTCCCCCCCCTCCAAACCTTACTCGCCCGGGGTCAGTGCGTGTTTCCCCCGCTCCCACTGAAGCCTGCGGCCCCGCGGTACCTTGACCCCGTTAATAAATCCCCCGGTGCCGCGCCGGTTGAGTCACGGTGCGAAACGGGCGCTTAATGCCATTAGGGTCCCGCGGTCGGTAAGCGGGTGGCGGGCGTTAAGAGGCTTAAACCCAACCGGGGGGACCGGCCCCGTGGGGGGGGTCCCGGGTCCCGGTCCGGGTCCGGTGGCGCCACGTGGGCGCCGAACAAAAAGCAACAGATTGCAAACAATGAGAGCGGCCTCGCTGACGGGCAGGGGAGAGGGCCAATGGGATCGCGCGGCAGCCGGCCGGCCCCGTCAGACAGCCAATGGGCGGCTCGGGTGGGCGGGGCTTCGCGGCCTGACTGTTATTAATGAGCGGCTTGGGGGGGGATGTTGTGTGCCCACGTGGCTGAGACCGGCCGCGTTGTGACACTGGTGACCAGTAAGGGTGTCCCCAGTGCCTCCAGTGTCCGGGGTTTACTGGGCAGAACCCCCCCGAGCAGGGGTGTGGGTTGGGGGTCACAAGCAGGAGGGTGCCCCAGGGCCCATCTCCTGTGGCCACCACTGGTCCTCTCACAGAGAGCTGGGGACCGTCCTCTGCCCGCGATGTTGAGCATCTCGGGGCACCTTTAGCAAGTGGCTGTATTTCCCCCCTCAAAAACCCAAGGGAAAAGGTGGAAGTGCATCCCTAAAGCAAGAGTGATTGAAGTTGTGCCTGGAGCCAGGTGACCACGCTGCGCCCAGGGGCCAGCTTCGGGCCTTGCTGGAGCCGGGACAAGCTCGATGACAACAGGCAGGGTGCTTTGGGTCCGATTATACTTCGTTTGGGTCTTGCCCTTCACAGCTCTGATATGCACACACCCCACCCGCTGCCTCCTGGGCTTGGGATGCCTTCGGGGTTCACCAAGTCTGTGGGAGGGATCCCATTGCCTCTCCCTGCCCCCTTGCCCTGCGGGGGGGCTGTCCCCGGGAAGCCTGGGCTGAATGGGGCTTATCACTTGTGAAAAGTGAGTCACTGGAGTGAGAAGCTGCTGCTGAGGGGAACAAAAGGCAGCTCTGCCCACCCCAGTCCCTCATTTACAATTCCAATGGACCAGGAGAGCACCTGACCAGGGTCAACTTTGGAGTTAGGCTGTCCCAGGTCCCCAGCATCCTGCTGCTCCTATCCCCCCCCCCCGGGTAGGTAGGCTTGGGTGTTTCTTGCCTGATGATCCTTTATCCTGGACACATGCTGCTCCTGGTGCTGAAGTGAGGCAGAAGAAAAGCCCCATTCAATTTTGGGAGGCCACGCACTTGGATGTGGAGGGAATGATTTCATTGGGATGATATTGGCAGAGCCCTTAAATCACAACCTCTTCTGGAGGCTGCAGAGTGGCTGCGGTGCATGAACAAGCTTTTGTGGGACGGCAGTGGGGTGATTGTGCAGGGGCTGTGGGGAGGTCTGGCGAGTTGAGGGGGTGCCCAGGGCCTCCAGCTGATGAGGTCTTTCTTTTTCCGTGTCCGTTTTGGATAGAAGGCGAAGAGATCGATGTGGTGACCGTGGAGAAGAGGCAATCGCTCGGCCTGAGGAAGCCGGTCACCATCACGCTGCGCGCCGACCCCTTGGACCCCTGCATGAAACGCTTCCACATCTCCGTCCACCAGCAGCAGCACAACTACGCCGCGCGCTCCCCTCCGGACACGCGTCCCCTGCCAGAGCCACCCCAGCAGGACGAGGACAAGCCCCCAAGCACCCCCCAAGCAGAGCCGGCCCCTGCCACCACGCTGCCTGAGCCCAGCTTGCCCAAAGCCAGCAGCAGCCCCAGCTCCGACAGCGAGGACGTGGCCAAGAGGAAAAACCACAACTACCTGGAGCGCAAGCGGCGCAATGACCTGCGCTCGCGCTTCCTGGCGCTGCGGGACCAGGTGCCTGGGCTCGCCAGCTGCCCCAAGACCCCCAAAGTGGTGATCCTGAGCAAGTCCTCCGAGTACCTGCAGTCGCTCCTGGCTGCGGAGAGGAGGATGGTGGCCGAGAAGCGGCAGCTCCGGCTGCGGCAGACCCAGCTGCTCAAACGGATTGCTCACCTCAAGGGGCACTAGCGCCCGGTTGCACCCCCGGCTCCCCAAAACCCCCGATCCCTCACGATTTGCACATTTCTTAATGTTGTCGTTTGGTTCAGTTGTTGAACTGTTGGCCCCAGGGGTCTAGAGCACGCGGTGGTTGCTGTATGTGGGGTGGATGCGGTGCTGTTCCCGGCTGTGGGAATGGGGCCGCAGCCAGAGGTCCCCTTCTGTGGCATTGCCTGCCTTGGCGCCGGGTGCTGCAAGGTTTCCCCTGTCCCCCTGTGAAGCTTTCTTAAGTGACTGCTTCGATTCATGGGCTCAGCTCCATTCCCCCTCCCCGGCAACCCCTGCTCCCCTCTCTGCTGTTTGTCACTGATAGAGTTGCTGGGAGTTCTTAGGGCATCCATCTCGCCCTGAAAATGCCAAGTGACCTTTGGCTCATGGAAGCAGGCAGAGGCAGGCATGGACATCCTAGCCCAGGGCTCTCCTCTGGACGCACCCCGATGGAGATGGTGATGGCAGGGTGTCTCTCACCGGGGTTAACAGCACCCTGTGGGCAATCCCCTTCCTCGGCTGGACCGTACCTCACTTTCTTACCACATCATGCAGTAGCTTGTCTTGGATTTGATGTTCTAGAAACTGCTGCTGTAACTGCAAGTCTTATACTGGAGGCTGTGTTTTTATACTGTATTTTTGTACCACTTTTTGAGAAGTATTGGTAAAGAGTTTGCTTTTTTTATATATATATAAAAACCTCTTGTTTTGGAGGGGGGTTCCTGCTGCAGGGAGAGCTCAGTCCTGCTGCACTTTAGGGAGATCAGGAAGGGGCTGGCTCCTGCTGGACCCTTGAGCTGAGTCCTTGCTGAGGCTGGTCTTCCCCCTCCAAACCACCCATTTGCAATAACGGGGTTTTTCCCCTTTCCCATCCTTGTGTCCTCCTTTCCCACCCTTGCAACTGCTCCCCCACCAGCAGCCACTGAGCATCCTCTGCGAAGCTTTGGGCTTTACATGAGCATGGCTGGAGGGGGCAGGCTGGGGGCAAGGGGCATCTGTGCTGCCTTTGAGGCTTCCCCCTGCCTGTGCCATCCTGTGGTGGGGTATGGGGTGGCAGAGTCCCTTGTCCCCTCCTGGGGTGTTGGCAGGGGTGGCCCCACAGGGCAGCACCTTTGGGTCCCTGCTGACCTGCTGAGAACTGTTAGAGTTAACACTGTGGTTGGATTTAGCACTTTCTTCATTACCTCACACTTCATAAATAAATACGTTTGCAACAACCTGGGTTGGCTTTTTTCCATGCAGGCGGCTGTGGGGCTCTGTGCATTGGGCCATGATGTTCCTTGGGGTGGGACCCTGTGTTTTGGGGTGTCCCTGACACAGAAATGAATCCGTTTGCACCGGGGCTTGGCTGGTAGCAAGACCAAGTCCTTTCTCCTGACTTTCTCCCAGCGGTTGAAAGAGAAGTGGGGCCAGGGAAATGAATCACCTGGATTATTTTTCCTCCTTTTAAGTGGCTTTATTGGCAAGGAGGGGCAGGGAGCCCATGCTGAGCTCTGAGAAGGCTTGCATGTAACAGTAAACCCCCCTAATGGGGCTCAGGGCAGCCAGTGTGGGGTGATCACTGCCCCGTGGGGCTGGGGTTGGCAGTAACCCTATAGGGAGGGGGGGAATGCAATCCCTTCACTTCAAGGGGCATTGGAGACCATCTCCCCAGATCTGCCAAGTGGATGAAATTATATACACGTGTGTGCTCTCCCTGCTGCCCCAAACTCAATGTGTTTGGGTTTCCTTCGTGCTGGCAGTGAAAGTCTTGCTTTAAATGCGAGAGGGACACGGGATTCTGTTACTGCTGAGCAGGCAGAAGAGCTGCTGCAGGAGATGCAGCCACCTGGGAGAAGCAGGCTTAGAAAGCAGCAATTCCACCCTGCAGGAATCCTATGCTCCCATTCCCTTCAGCTCCAGCACTGTCTCACACTCGCTGCATGTTGCATCATGCCATGTCAAAGCCTTTTAGGGCTGCATTAAAAGATGCTCACAGGAACCACAGCTTAAACACGGAGCAGGGTGACCTAAATCTGACACCTTGCCCGTGTGTAGGGAACAAAGCCGAGCTGCACGAGTCCCTCAGTTGCTTATTGCTGACACTTGCACACCGGTGTCTCTGAGCTCAAGGTGAGCCTCCCGGTAAGGTTTTTAGCAGGGTGTGCTTTTGCTCTTCATGCTGAAGGCATGCCGGATGCTTAAAACACTTTTTCTCTCTTAGGCACGATGTGCAGATCCATGGCCTGAGCAGGGACAGTCACCAGGGGAAAATGTGGCTGGTTTTTAAGTACACCACACCTCTGATTTCTCCTGCTGAAAGCCCACATACCTATATATACACCTGAGACTTCCCTGGTTAATAATGGAGACGTCTCCTCTCGTATTGCCATGACTGACAGCACCCGTAAGTGAACCAAGTAAGCACACAGGGCTCCTCAGTGCTGTGATGTGCCAGTGTTGGCTGGGACCATCCCGATGCAGCATTTCCAGCTTTAACAGTTATCTCCTAGTGCTGTTGCCCTGCTCACCCCCTGCTCCTTGTGACCCCCCCCTTCCATACCACCTTTTCTTCTCCCCCCGCTCGCTGTACTCGGGTTTCTCGGCCACGGAGCCGCCTTCACGCCTGGGCTGGCAAATTTGTAGGGCAGTTTCCCGAAGCGGTGATAATCCCCCGCAGCCTCCCCGCTCCCTGTTGCTATGGCAGAGGATGTGTGTTGCCAGGGAGATACCCTCCTCCCGCTGTCTCCATAGCAACCGTCTCCCTGCTTTCCCTCCTTCTCTGTCGCCACGGAGACAGCCGCCCGCTCCCCATCTCCCCGTGTTGCCGTGGCGATGGGGAGGACGAGCTTGAGAGGAGGCTGCGATTGCCACGGCAAAGCGCCCCTATCTTGTTGCTATGGCAACAGCCCCGCTCCTCACCCTCCTGCCCTGTTGCTATGGCAACAACATCCTTCCCACCCCACCCCAAAATAAACGGGGACCAGGGCGCAGGACCCCACTCGTGGGCATGGCCGGGATTGAGGGACCCGGGGAGGGGGGGGGGCGATAAAGGGGCCTGGGGGTCCCGGGGACCCGAGGAGGGTCCGGGTCCGGGGTGGGGATGGGGCCGGTGACCGGAGCCCCGAGCCCCGAGCCCCGCCGCAATGAGGGCCACGGGGCACAGGGCCCGGCCCCGTCCCGCCCCCGTCCCGCCCGCCCTGGCAGCCGCCGGGCCGGGCCAGGCCATGGCGGCGGCCGCGCTGTGCCTCGGCCGGGCCCCGCCGCCGCGGCCGCTCGTGGTGATCCTCGGCGCTACCGGCACCGGGAAGTCGGCGCTGGCGCTGCAGCTGGGGCTGCGCCTCGGCGGGGAGATCGTCAGCGCCGACTCCATGCAGGTAGGGCCGGGAGACAGCGCGGCGGGGCCTGCGGCCTGCGAGCAGGGGAGGGCCGGCGCTGGGCCTGAGGGAGGCCGCGGCGGGGAGCGGGGCCTGCTCGGGGCCCGCAGAGCCCCGCGGGGTGCGGGCTGAGCCCCCCCCGGTGTCTGTGGCAGCCGTGCCACAGCAGCTGAACGGGGAGGCAGAAGCAGCGCTGCGGGTGAAGGCTCCCTCCGGGAGGAAACCCGAGCGAGAGACTTTCATTTAGACCCACAAGGGCTCCGCGGGGGGGTTGAGGAGCACTTTGAGGCAGCGGCTGGGGGTAACCGGTTGTAAGTGGTGCTGAGGATCGGTCCTGCGGGTGCTGGCAAGGAGCCTGGGCTGTGGCAGCCGCGCAGGACGTGGTGGGAGCCCTGAGCGAGCCCCACGGTCCCGCTGGTCCCTGCGCTGAGCCGCGTGTCCCGGCTCTGCCGTGCGCCTTTCCAGGGGCTGCTGGATGGATGGAGCATCAGCGAGGTGCGATGAGGCAAAGGGACACCAAAGAGAGACGGGGAAGGAAGGATGTTAACAGCTGTATTTGCTGCTTGAGAGCCTGTGGTTTCATCTCCTTCCATGCTCCATCCCTAGCAGTGTGGAAGATAGCAGATACAGATGACACAAGGTCCTTTTCTATGAGTCTGTGCTGGATTCAGGAGGAGCTGAGCCTCTTTTTTGGTCCTGATTGCACCGACACGGGAGCTTCATCACCAGATGCAGATTTCAGCCACCACAGGCGGCTTGTTATTATTGGTTAGCAAAATGTTTCCTTCGTAATCACTGCTTTGGCTGCTCTGGTTCTGTAGCACCTGAGCTCCCCCAGCCTTCAGTGCTCAGTGTATTTATTGTGCTGGTTTAAAAGTGTTTGCTGCCAACAGCACCCTTCCTGCTGCCCAGGGATGGGCTCGCGCTCTCCTCTCCTGCAGCCACCTCCTGCTTTCCTGCACCTGGCTGCTGATGCTGGTCACTATTTGTGTCCTAGAGAGCTAAACTTTAAACTTCCCTCTCCTCAATCTGGAGCAATTAGAAGCTTTAATTTTACGGGATGTTTTCCTTAAGCTCTTGAGCAAGGAGTGTTTGAGGTCTGAGCTGAATTGAGTCCTGCAGGGGCAGAGCATTCATGTAGATGGAGAAGCTTTGTCTGGAGCTGCCTGGCCCAGCCATGCCAGTGCTTCGAGTCCTCACCATGTGCTCTGTAATGAAGGACCTCCGTGTCCATCCTGCTCTCCTCGAGCACAGGGTGCGACTGCCTGTGAGCTGGTTTGCTCTGCAGTCCTCTTCTGGGCTGGGATGGCTTTTAGGTGCCTGCTGTTGCTTGCAAGACGAGTTACTCTGCTGTCGTGTCTGCACCAGGAGCGTCTCTGGTCAGATCTTGGCTGCTGGGATTTTACTGGTGCCGACCTTCCTGCAGACAAACCCAGAGCTTTTGTTCAGTCATTTGTGCCTGGTTGTGTGCTGGTAACCCTGAGGCTCTCGGCCCTCGCAGTGACCTTGGGACAAGGAGGCACAAAAATACAAAATGTAATGTTCTAAGTAATGTTGATGGCTTTGTAATGGAAAACTGCGGTGCTTGAAGGTAGTTGACATAGTTTCAGGCCCTCAGGACCTCAGTACAAAAGGTGTGAGAAAAGCAGAAGGACAGGACCTGGGGATGGGAAGTATCTGGGACTAGCAGATGTGGGTGGGCACAGATAAACTCACTGATAAGTAGAAGGGCAGGATGATTGCGATGTCTGTAATGTTAATTAAGCTTGTTGGGAAAAGTAAACGACCCTTAAAGACCCCCACATTTTTGTATGCATGCCGGAAACCTTTTGGAAAATGATGTGATATGCTCGGTGATCATATAAGGATGACCTGTATAGCAGTTCGGAGACACAATAAAGAATACCTGCTTGTCAACTTGAAACTCTGTTGGCGAGTTTGTTCCTGGAGTTTCCTCCGAATCAGACCGCCAGCCCAGCACGCAGCAGGCTTTAGGATGGGGAATTGTGCCTGTTGACTTGAGCAGCGCTGCAAACAGGAGGCTCCCGCTGCCCCCCGAGCTCTGCAGACGTGGCTGAAGCCCACTGGTGCGCTGCAAATTCTCGGTTCATGCTGGTGGATGGTTTGAGGCGTCTATTTTGTGCTCTGGTTATTTCAGGTCCCACTATGGGAATGCAAGGGGCTGGGAGGACGCTGGCTGCAGGCACCCAATGGCATCTGGTCTTGAGTGGCTCTTGTCCTCCTTTCCTTTTAATCCCATTCTAGCGTGACTGTGGAAGGGGAGCAGCTCCGTTGCCTTTATCCCGCAGCACAACGTGCTCTGAGCCTGGCCTCAGGCCGCCTGAAGGCGCAGCCTCCAGCAGCCCGTGTCCCACTAACCCCTGTGCCCTGCTCGGGCGGCCGCAGCCAGCTCTGTGCTTGCTCGCTGGCTGTGTTCCCATGGGATACTGCCCGCTGCAGATCCCTCTGCCACGCAGCACTGGCTCCGCTGGCCTTGCCATGGGTTTTAAAGCTCCCGTTGCTCATTCCCAACTGGCAGCTGCCAGTGCCCGTGTCCATTCATCGCTGCGGTCCCGGTGGGCTCTGACGAATGCTGGCAGTGTCCTGGGCAGCTGCTGGAGCTGGAGCCAGGCTCGGGAAGGGGCCGGGAGCCCCAAACCCACCTGTTCCCACACAGGCACCCCTCTCTCTGCAGGGCGTTTCGTCATGGCTGTGGGTCGCTGTGGTCATGTTACAGACTTAGCTGCTGCCTGCGTGCAGCTCAGGAGCTCTGCTTAATCTGATGGCCTCTTAATCTTGTTTTTTTTTGTCCTTTCTGTTGCTGTTCGTCATCCCAGAGGGTTTCCTTTAGGAGTAAGTCGTTCCTGGGAAACCCAAATGGGCTGAAGCCAGTCCTGTTTCTTTGTTCTTCCTGATCCCAGCTTGCTGGAGGGCCCCATCCGTTCCCCATCTCACTGTCCCTTCTGGATGCCATCCTTCTCCGGAGGCTGTTGTAGCACACTGGGTACATTTGCCATTTACTGTGTCCAAGTCAGGACATCTTAAGAGCCTTTGTTGCCATCTTTCTGATGGCAGGGATCGGAGTGGGGAGTGAGTTGAGCTCTCCTTGCATCCTAGCTTGGTGTGGGCCCTCCATGCCCCTCTCCAGCTGGGAGATTCCCTTGGTTGTGTGGAATATTCACACTCTCCCAGCTGTAGGTGGCTTGGCTGTGTCTGGGGTCACTGTGCTGCACAGCCTGGTGTACTGTGCCTTTACCCCTCTGGTGCAGATGGTGACAAAGGGACGGAGTTTGGGGCTGTGCAGGAAACTGGTGCCAGAGTGAGGGTTTGGGAGAGCCCTTCCCAGGCTGAGGAGCCTCACGGCACCGTTTCCTGAGGATCACTTAGAAGGGGAGATGGCCCTGTCCTCCCAGCAAAGAGCTGGGAGCTGCAGGGCTGACCCGTGCGGGGCCTTCACTGCAGGGTGAGAGGATGCTGCCAAGGCCGAGCATCTTGAGCCCGCAGCTTGTGCTCGGTGTGTCGGAGGGCTGCTGCTCCAGGCTGCTCGCTGCTAATCTGTTTTGGGCGCCTTAGAAAGCAACAAAGGCTTATCTGAGCCGCTTGCTGCAAATAGCCATGAGTGTCAGGAGGACGTCTGGGTGCGACAGCCAGCTGGTGGAAACCTTGCTGCTTGTGTGTAAAAGGCCGCCTTTGTTTCCTCCCAGCCCACAGACTGACACCGCATTCCTCCCCTTGTTGCTCGATATTCGGGGAGGCTCTCGGTGTTTAATCTCCAGGAGAACCTTGGGGGATCGGAGCTTGAATGGGTAAATCCTGTTTGTGCCTGTGCAGAGCACTGGGAGCTCCCGGCTGCTTCCGAGCCCCCCCCCCCGTCACCATCAGCCCTCGGTATTAACTCTGATCTCAGGCAGACGAGTGGGAGTCGGAGGAGCTGCAGGGCTGGGCTGGCCCTTGCCTGGGGAGAGGTGGCACTGAGCCAACGCTCCCTGCATTCAAAGGCTTTCGGTGCCGGCTGGAGACCTGCCTTGAATAGTGCTGCTCAGCCCGGGGCTGGGCGATGGAAGGGGATCAATAGGCTGCAGCCAGCCACGGGGCGTGTTGGCACAGAGCTGCCTCTTGGGCCTCTCCTCCCGTCTGCTCCCCATCCCCTGGAGCCAGCTGGGTTTCTGCAGGGCCGAAAGGAAGAGCATTTGGTTGCCCTCCCGCTCCCCTCTCGCTTCCTGCCCCCAGGCAGCCTTTCCCTACCGAGGGACTGGAGCAGGAGCTGGCCCTCGCCCACCGAGCAGCAAGTTCCGAGCTCCTGGCAGGATGGGAGCTGTGCGCGGGGCCGCAGCCGGTTCAGCCGCCCCGGCAGCTCCGGGCTTCCCTGCTCCACTGACCTGGGATCGTGCCTTGCTGCCGCCCGGTGCCCGCAGGTCACCTCCGTGTCACCTTGGCCTGGTGTCTGCTGAGGGCAGGCAGTGGGTGGAGGCTGCGCTGCCTTGGCAGCTCCTCGGAGGGGATTAAGGGGAAATGTGTTTGTGGAAGTCTGGCCCTCTGGCTGGGGTGGGTTCTGGGGAGTGGAGGAGGAAGGGCACAGCCATTTCCAGCCCTTTCTCCCATCAGCCTGCTTTATTCCAAGCCGGGAGACTGTTCCAAGCAGGAGCAGCGGCACAAAGCAGAGCCTGAGCCACTGTGGCACACAGTGCGGAGCCAGGCTGGACAGAAAGTGCCCACTGTCACCGTGTGCCTGCTGCCAGCACCCTTGGGGTACAGGTCCCCACTGTGATACCTGCTTCTCTGCAGCACCCATTGGCCAGCAGTGCTGGGCACAGGGGCACCCTGTGCTGAAGGGGGTTGTGTTTGCATGCCACGGGGAGCAGGGTTAGGAGCCTTCCTCCCTTCTGAGTGAAACATGCTCTCATCTCCCCCAGGACCCAGCCGAGCTGCGGGGATGGGATGCCAGGCTGAGGCAGCTCCGGTACTTGCAAGGTCTGTGGGCTTAGGCTTTGGCTGCTTTATGCAGCCTGGAGGGTGGATTTGGGCTGTGGCTCAGGTGTGTGCTGCTGGGATCGCAGGTTGCTTTGGCTCGTCACCAAGGATGCTCCCAAGGGGTTGGTTCGGGTGGCTTTTCTCTCTGCTCTGCTCTTAGCTGGCTAGCTGAGGGTGAGCACCTCCCAGCAGTGCTCTCCCAGGTTCTATATCCCAAACTTGGGATTGAAGACTCAGCTCGAAGCAGTGAGATGCTCCCGGTTGCACTCACGGGTGTCTCTCAGGCATGAGCTGAGACCATTTGCATGTTCAGGAGGCTCCGTGGAGTCGCACGTTGCATCCAGAGACACTTGTGCGTTACGGGAAGCAGTGATCCTTGCCCTCAAACGAGACTCAGTGCTGTGCTGGAGGGTGGTGTTTGGAGAGAGGCAGACCTGAGCTTTTAGCTCCAAGAGCAGTAGATGAGGAGGTGGCAGTTTGGAGGCAGCCATCCTCATCGTTGTGGAGCTCTGTGCTTCGGAGCTGGGCTTGCCTGGTTACCCTGACCTTGATCCATCCCTAACTGCAGGGTTCCACCAGGCCAGGAGAGCAGTCACGAGCTGTGGGGGAAAGGAGCAATGGTCAGGGGGGTTCTCATGGGGCATAGAGGTGAATGATGGGTTCTTCTCTTCCCCAGGTGTACAAGGGCTTGGACATCATCACCAACAAGGTTTCCCTGCAGGAGCAGCGTCTGTGCAGGCACCACATGATCAGCTTTGTGGATCCCCTTGTCTCCAACTACACAGTGGTAGATTTCAGAGACAAAGCTGTGCCTCTCATATCCCTTCACTCTGCAGCCTGCCTGGCTGGGCAGATATGGACTTCCCCCCTTCACAGCCACAAGAGGGATCAGGGTTTGCCTCAGACTTGGGCTCTCCACAGTGCAAATAACTCTGGGTTTCAGGGGATACTGCTGGTGAGGGGAACTTGGAGCTGCTTTTACCCAGGTAATGCTCAGGGCAGCCCATCCTCAGGGCTGGCTGGGGAGGATCTGAGCCAGATGTTGCCTTCCCTGGCAGTCCCTGGGTGTCCCCGAGTTTTGGTGGTAGCTGACACAGGCAGCAGAGGATAGTGACCGATGAGGGACACCTATAACCCTGTCCCACAGCCTTAACCAGCTCCATGGAGCTGGGCAAATGAGGTTTGGGCCAGCAGGCTGCTGCTCCCACAGCCCTTCCTCCCTGCTGTGCAGCTGTGCTTATGCTCCTTGACGATAGCACATTGAAGACATCTTTGCCCGAGACAAGATCCCGATTGTTGTGGGAGGAACCAACTACTACATCGAGTCCCTGCTCTGGAAGGTCCTCATCAACACTAAGGTACATCTGGGGGGCTGCGTATCCCACTGGGAAAGGGTGAGCCCATGTTCAGAGCAGCCTTCTGCAACTGGGCATGGTGTTCCCCCTGCTAGAGTGGGGCAAGGAGAATCAAAAGCCCCTCATTCACCCTGTGGGTCTGGGGGATGTTGTGGCTTGCGCTGGCCTTGCATGTGGATGAGTGTCCCCATTGAGAGGAGCCTTGTGCCCTGCAGGAGACGGCCAGCACAGCTCCGGAGACGGTCAGGGACAGGAAGGTGGAGCTGGAGCAGCTGGATGGTGGGGAGCTCTATCGCCGCCTGAGCAGGGTGGACCCCGAGATGGCAGCCAAGCTGCACCCCCACGACAAGCGTAAAGTAGCCAGGTGAGCTTGGGGTGAGCTTGGGGTGCCCTGCACCCCTTCCCGAGGGAATCGTGTGCCAGGGAACACAGCAAGACAGGCTCTCCCATCCCAGGTGCGTGCTCCCAGCCTCTTAGCAAGGTGCCTGGGGACCTTGGAGCACTGGTGTTGAGGAGCTCTCTGGGATCTGAGACCTTTGGCCATGCAGCACGCCAGCCTTTGGGATGCAGGATGGTGCATGGCTCCTGGCTCCTGTGCACTGGGGCTGCTCCCGCTGCGGTGCCCCAGCAGCAGGGTTTATCTGAAGCTATTTAAAGAGCAAGCTGCTGTGCTGGCTGAGTAACATAGCTGAGCTCTGTGGGAACAGCACGGCGGCAAGACCAGGCTTGCTGCTTTGGCGGGCCCATCCCAGCTGAGCCCTGGCCTGGGGGGAGCAGAACACCACCCACCCCATTCGCACGGTGCGGAGGGGGGACAGGGGGTTGGGCACCCCCAGCAGCTTCCTTCACCTCCCTGCCTGGGCTGGGCTGAGCATTAGCAGTGCTGGCCCCTTCCCTGCAGCCCTACCTGGCTGGAAAGGGCAGGGCTGGAGCCAGAACCCTGTCCCCTGCAGGATTTGTCCTGCTGCCAGGCAGGAGTGGGTGGCTGTGCTCTAGGCTCCTTGGGTGCCATCACTGTGCTCTGCACTGCTTTGTACCCCCAGGACCTGGGTGTGCTCAGGATGCTGGGCACGGGAGGGGGCAGAAACCAGCCCTCCCCCCACATGAGAAGGATGGATCTCAGTGAGTGTCTGCGGTTCCCTTTGCTGGAGTCCCCAGGGCTGCCTGGGAAATGGAAAAGCTCATCCTCACCCAGCCTCTGAGCTCTGTCTCTGCTTGCAGGAGCCTCCAAGTGTTTGAAGAGATGGGGATCCCCCATAGTGAAATCTTGCAGCAGCAGCAGGAGGAGGAAGGTGGGGGGCCCTTAGGTGGGCCCCTGAAATACCCACATTCCTGCATCTTGTGGCTCCATGCAGACCAGGCAGGTGAGAGTGAGCTCCTGGCTGAGTAAGGCGATGCAGATGAGGGCTGACGCCCTGCTCCTGCCCCAGCCTCCTCCCTGAGCGAGGCAGCAATTCCTTTGGCATCCGTGAGTGTGACAAAGGACTTGTTGCCCTCGCCTGCTGGGTTCTGCCTTCCTCAGCGGGATGGGGAGGGTGGCAGCGCTGGGGCATGTTCTGGCACGTGGTCTAGCTGTGGGCCTCCTGAGGGCATGCCCTGCTCTCCTCCTCCCAGCTCTGGACCAGCGGCTGGAGAAGCGGGTGGATGACATGCTGGCTGCGGGGCTGCTGGAGGAGCTGCGCGACTTCCACCGCCGCTACAACCAACAGAAGGTGGCTGAGAACCGGTGGGTGAGGAGCCAGCTCCCTTCCTGCTCATCCCCCCCCCCCCCCATCCCCGAGCCATGCAGGCACCAAAACAGCTCGGCCCGAAGCACCTCTGGTGCATTGCTGCTCCCAGCCCTCTCCTGGCAGCATCTGCTCTGGGTTCCTGCCTCTGCAGGGGCACCATCGTGGAGAGGTGTGGACCAGCCGGATCCTCAAGCACTTCCTGGCCTCCTTCCCTTCCTGCCAGAACCCTCAGAGCAGATTTGGTCAAACAGCAGAGTCCCTGTGGGTCTTAGTGTTGGGAATTAATTTTGCCTGGACCATACCTGCCATTTTCCCTCAGTAAAAATGACTTGGTGCTGCCTAAGCATTCACACAGGGAAGCTGACATGGGCTGGCCCTGAAGGCACTGGTCTGTCTTGTGTGCCTGGTTTGGCTTGTCCCCTGAGCCCATGGGCTTGTGTCACCTGGGGAGGTTCCTGCAGGGTGGGATGCAGAGACCCCAGCTATTCACAGGAGGGTTCAGGTCTCCCACTGTTCTACAGGAGATGGCTTTGACCTCTGCCTCTTGTCTTCTCCAGGCAGGATTACCAGCACGGCATCTTCCAGTCCATTGGCTTCAAGGAGTTCCATGAGTACCTCATCAGTGAAGGGAGCTGCTCACCAGAGACCAGTGCCCTGCTGCTGCAAAAAGGTGGGAGGAGCACCCTGCATGCCCTACATCCCTCAGCCCCATGCAGCTTCAGGAGACACTGCCTGATGGGCTGAGCCAAGCTCAGACCTTAGCGCAAGTCTTGTTGGGGTTGAGCTGCACCTTTCTCTCTGCATTTTCCATATTTGCCAGCTCAGGGGGACAGGGGCTCCTTTTTCAGTGCTTGGAGCATTGCTGAGCACAGCCAGAGCAATTCCTCCCTTCCTTCCCCCTGGCCTACATGCAGCTTGTACTGGGCACGGGATCTGGAGCTGGTCCACCGGTGACCTGGGTGATGAGATCCCAGCTGGGGTGTGAATGCTGTGGGGAGCTGAGCTAGAAAGGGAATGAAGTGGAACTCAGCATCTGGTTCAGCAGCATTATGGTGGGAAGGAGCCTGGGGATCTAGCAGATCACAGCATGAGTCAACAGTGGTGCACTTTGATGGCATGTTCCATTCTGGAGTTCGGGACTGGTGTTAGAGGACAGGTTGAAGGGGGTGATCCTGCTCCTCTGCTCATGAGGCCTCACTTGGAGCATTGTGTGCAGTTCTGGTGTCAGCATAAAAAGGACATGGAACTGTTGGAACAAGTCCAGAGGAGGCCACGAGGGTGCTCAGGGGCTGGAGCACCTCCTATATGAAGACAGGCTGAGAAAACTGGGGCTGTTCAGCCTGGAGAAGGCTGCATGGAGACCTCAGAGCAGCTTCCAGTGTCTGAAGGGAGCTGTAGGGATGCTGGGGAGGGACTCTTCATTAGGGACTGTAGTGACAGGACAAGGGGTAACGGGTTAAAACAAACAGGGGAAGTTTTGATTGGATCTAAGGAAGTTCTTTAAGGGTGCTGAGGCACTGGAATGGGTTGCCCAGGGAAGCTGTGAATGCTCCATCCCTGGCAGTGTTCAAGGCCAGGTTGGACAGAGCCTTGGGTGACCTGGTTTAGTGTGAGGTGTCCCTGCCCATGGCAGGGGGGGTTGGAACTGGATGATCCTAAGGTCCTTTCCAACCCTAATTATTCTATGACAGAGCTGCTCTGCTCCTCAGCACAGCAGAGGTTCCAGGCAGAGTTGATCTGTGTTGGGGAGGGTTCAGTGCAAAGTGGAGATGGGAGTCTGAGGAAACCACAGCAATGATAAAAGGCTTGAAAACAGAAGGGGCTTGTTATGTCTGCTCAGGAGACCATTACAGAGGGATAGATAAGTCTGGTACTGAGTATTGCCAGGTTGTACAGTGGTCAGCCATCCTGTGGGACACCTGTGGGGAGGATGAGGAGTCCTGAGCTCCATTTGTGCAGATTGATACTTGGGTATTGTGAGAGCAGGGCGGCCCTTGAACAGATTGTTCTACCTGCTAAAAGCTTCAGGGCAGAGGTTTTGGGCTCTGAGCTCATCTTGCAGCCTTACACTCACCTTTGTTTTAATCCCTCTGTTTCAAAGGGATCCAGGCCCTGAAGCAGGTGACCAAGAGGTACGCCCGGAGGCAGAACAAATGGGTCCGAAACCGCTTCCTGAAACGTGAGTCCTCTGTTCCTACCCTACCTCACCACCCCTGTTCTTCATCTCTCATCTTTCCTCAGCCCATCCCCTGCTCCTAGCTCAGGAGAGGCTCCACTGCTTCGGGGCTTGGGCAGGGGGTGCCCAGCATGGTCCCTCTCCTCATGGTGTCGCACATGGTGCCCAGTTGATGCTGCCCTCCGGATCAGGAGCATGAGCCTGTTGGCTGCTCTGAGCATGGGCTGTGCTGGCTGCAGTGGCCAGGAGCCAGCAGGACTTCCCCATCCCAGCCCCAGCCTTGGAGCAGGGCCAGCAGCAGCAGCTGGGAGCCGGGCACTTGTTGAAAGGTGCTCGGTAGGGGCAAAACAACAATAAAATAAAGAGAAAAAGCCCAGGCAGGGAGAAACTGGGCTCAAAAGAGGCTTTGAACGAGGTGCAAGAGCTGTCCCGCAGCCATGTGCTCGGTGGCTGTGGCTCACCTTTCTGGTGGCAGGTGTGCTGCAGCCCAGCTTTGTGAGGAGGTTGGTTGTGGTTACAACACCAAGGAGCAGCAGCTGCTGGAGCCTGGCACGCAGCAGCCTGGGATGGCTTTGTCTGAGCGGGTGCTCTGATTGCTGCTGCCTGTGCCCCGTGCCCTCACACCGGGCTGGGGGAGGCCAGAGGGGTGGCTTTGAAACTTGGGCCTTGTCTGAGGCATTAACAAAGCATCTCCCACTGTGGTCTGCTGCTGGGAGCACTGTGTGGCCAGAGCAGCCACACAAGCCATTACAGCTCTGAGTGAGGAGCTGCACCCACAGATTCCTCATCCAGACTCTGTGCCTGCATCTCCTTGTAAGCTTTGTGTGATGGCTTTGTGTCCACATCTAAGCTTTGTGTGATGGCTTTGTGTCCACATCTAGCTTTTTGATCTCCTGTGGCCTCCCATGTACCATGGCAGTGATGAAGTGTTTGTTGCTGGGCTGGGCTGTTGGTGTGCTCAGATTCCACAATGCTGTCCCAAACAGACAACCATGGAGATGCTTGCCTGTGTTCGTAGGTGCTCATGCTCTTTGCAAGGGTGGTATCCCCCCCAGGCTGAGGTCTTTGGTAATTTGGGCTCTGGAAAGGCTGGTGCTGTTTGCTTCTGAATGCTAAAGAACTATATAGGAAAAAGCAGGACACTCTGCTCATAGTGTAGCCCCATGGGCACTGTGACATGATGCTGGGGGTGTTCTGGTGTGCTGAGTTGTCTGCCTCTGCCTCTGTAGGTCCTGGGCCCAATGTACCCCCAGTGTATGCCTTGGAGGTGTCTGATCTCGTGCGGTGGGAAGAGAATGTGCTGAAACCTGCTCTGGAGATTGTGGAGAGCTTCATCCAGGTACTGGGTAACTGGAGTTAACACAGGAGCCATGACCAAGAAGCCAACTTCTTTGCAGTCTCCAGGCCCGTTAACTTGGCACTTAGTCTCTCTGCTGTCTGCCTGTGTCCAGCCTTGGGCTCCCCTCACAGTGGCAGAGGACTGTTGTCTAAGCTGAAGATTTCTCCTGATGGCCCGTGCTGCACTTGTCTTGCATGGTGCAACTGCAGCGTCTGTCCCGCTAGCATTGCTGTCTGCGTGTGGCAGGTTCACATCCCAGAGTGAACACAGCCAGGCAGGTTTCACAGCAGCCCCCAACTGGAGGCATTATTTCACCTACAGGGCCAGGAGCCCCTGGCAGAGCCCGTGAAGATGGAGCCCGATGTAAATGAGAACAAGCGGAGTCAGCGCGTGTGTGAGCTCTGCGACAGACTCATCATTGGGGACAGGGAGTGGGCAGGTAGGGCTCAGCTGGGGGGGAACAGGACATGGGAGGGGGCAGTCACACAGAGAGGTGCAGCGAAGCAGCTCTCTGAAGCAGAGCAGCTTTCCTTGCCTGGCTGCCTGGCCGGATGACCCTCAGCACATCATCTCAGCACATCATCTCAGCACATCATCTCAGCACATCATCTCAGCACATCATCTCAGCACATCATCTCAGCACATCATCTCAGCACATCATCTCAGCACATCATCTCGGGCTTCCAGGGCTTGTTTACAGCCCGGGATGAAAGGAGCCATTTGCAAGCCCAGGGGGGTGCAGGAGCTGTGCCACAGCAGCCATCTGTCAGGCTTCCCCCCTTCCCTGCACCCAGTCACTGCCCTGCCAGGCGTGGGGATCTATAGGTACCATCGAGCCCTAGAGCTGTTTGTTTAGTGAGGGCTGCTGGCCCTTTTCAGCACTTCAGGTGCTTTGTCATGAAGCAGAGAACAGGTTTGTTTCTTCTAAAATGTGTAAAAAAACTTGGAATGGTTTTTAATAGCTCAGGTTTGCTCCAGTATCTCCTATTTGTGTTTTTTAGAGTATTGCTAGCTGCAATGGTAATAGAAAAGGATTTTCTATTTTCAATAGACTGCCTTTAAAAGAGCTCAGCTGGAATCAGATTAACTCTGAATTTATCTGCGCTGGGAGGCTCATGCTGAGAACCAGGAACAAAAAGTAGCAGAGAAACTGGCTGCAAGGAGCAGACCTGGTAAATCTCCATGTGTTGCCCAAACACAGAGTGCAGGCACAATGCACAGATAAGTTCTGCAGGTCGTTGGTCATTGGATTTGAACAAGTCACTTATTCCTATTGATCCAGGGAACTGCTGAAAGCAAAGATGGAAGGAGGCTCAGAATAGGAAGCTCATTGTAATGAGATCAGTTTGGAAGTGCCATTGTTATTTTAGCCAGTCTCAGCTCTGGTGCTTTGGAGGAGCTCTGCCTCCTCCAGAACTAGAGGACTCTGAAAGCTATCAGGGTCCAGCAGGTTTTGTGACTGGGTGGGAACTCCACAACCCCCCCCCCAAAACACTGCATCTGCAACTGCACATCCTCCAGGAACATCCCAAATTCTGCTAGATGATGACAGTGCCTTCCCCAGCCAAGACCAGCTGTGGTTCCCTGCATCCAGCTGAATTTGGCTCACACCCCAGGATGGTGGGAGAAAAACAGTCCCAAACTGGGTGTTACTTGTGAGTGCAAAATGGAAGTGAAACCAGCAGTGGGGGCTGAGCTGATGTGCAATCTGCTCTGGTTTCTGTAGGCAAGTTACACATAGTCCTGGGAGCTGTTTCCCAGTACCCCACTGGGTCTGGGGGATGGAAAAGTTCTATTTGTGTGGATTTTGTGTGGATGGCTCGTTCCCAGGCAGCGCCTGCTCCAGCCACTGAGAGCTTTGGTGTTGCTTGTAAGAGGTGAGACTTGATTTCAGGCTGAGGTGACCCTACAGCAATTGTGATAAAGCAGCAGCTTTGCATGTAACTTCATCCCTTGGCAGGAAAGGATGTCTGGAAAACCCCTCAGGGCCATGATTCAGTTAGCACATCCCCTCATTTCATAAAGGCCCTGCTTGGAAAGTTTGCTGCTTTAATTGCTGCTCTGATCTCTTGGAAATAGCAAAACCACCCTGCTAAGATGCTTCATGGCTCTGATTAGACAAAGCGCCTTCTACTTAGATAACACCACTGATACAGGAGATTTTACTGCCCTTAACTCTGTGATTTCAACCAAGTGCAGCTCCTGCTGCCGTGCTGTGTCAGGACAAGCTGCATCCCAGGGATTGTGCCTCTGTTCCCCCTGCCTCCTGCTAAGTGCTCTCATGGCTGGGGGCCTTGCCCTGGAGTTATGCAAAAGCCTAATTATGCTCCGGGCTCCATCCTGAGCTGCTCTGCAGATTTACAGGAGATCCCAGTGCTGTGGTGCAGGCATCTAGGCCTATAAATGATCCTGGCAGAGCTCCATGGGGTGGTGGAGAGTTGCACAACCTTCCTGCATCCTTCAGTGTGCTGCCTCTTTGATAACACTTCCCTTTCTCCCAGCCTCCCGGTGTTGTCTTGGCTGGGAGGAGGTTTGCTGGGAGAGTTCAGTGAGTCCTGACAATCTGGAGACTTCTGTGTATGCAGAACCAGGGTTTGTCCCTCTCCCATCCTCCCTGTGATCAGGAGGAGGCTTGGGAGGGTTGTCCCCCTTCATGGCCAGGGCAGGGCTTGGGAAGTCACTTCTCTGCAGGAATGAACTGTGTGGGAGGATGGGAAGGGACGGCTCCCTACGCTGGACATGGGGTTGGCTGTTCCACAGAATCAAAGGCTCCGTTTGCATCTCCCTCCAGCTCACACACGCTCCAAATCCCACCTGCACCATCTGAAGAGGAGAAGGAAGCTGGAGGCTGCCGGCCGTGCTGCAGAGGCTGAGGGGGACAGTGCAGGTGCAGCGACCTCGGATGAGGACAGCAGCCAGGCTTCACCGTAGGGCTCCAACCTGCCTCTGAAGGGGAGGAGGCAACTTGGTCCTGGGTGGCCTTGGACTGAGTGAGCCGAGGGCTGAGGCAGGTGTGTGATGGCCAAAGGCCGCCTCGGATCCTCTTCGTGTGGCATCATCGTGCCGTGTTCCCATGCTTCCTCAACCCTGCCTGGAAGGGGCTGGGCCCTGGGGCAAGGCTGTTGGGAGCATCCTCCCGTGCCAGGTGTTAATTCCTGCCGGAGACACAGCATTGTCCTTGGAATGGTAGAGCTGCCGTGTGAATGTGTCCTGCTTGGAGACAGGAATTCCCTGCCCTCCTCCAGCTTGGCCAGGGGTGCAGCTCCAGAGCTGAGCGAGCTCTTGCTGCCTTTATTGTGGAGAGGAATATTCTTTTATATGGAAATAAAGTTGCAGGATGATCGTGGGCTCCTTTCCCCATTGCCAAGCGCTGTTTTCTTGCTGTTTCCACCTGGCCCAGCTTCCCTGCTCTGGGCATGGGGTGGGAGGGTCAGGTCTGGTCCCTTCCAGCCGCCTTTCCTGCAGCTTCCAAGGGAGCTGAGCAGATGTTCCCTTCTTGTGGAAGCCGTCTGATCCCAATGCACGGAGCAGGTGCAGAAGGAGCTGGCACCTGTTAAACAGGAACTTGGAAGTGATCTCATCCAGTTTGCAGCAGAGTCTGTCCCAGTTAGAGCTGAATTCCCGGGGCTTTACGCTGTGGTTTGGCAACGGGAACCAGCCCTGCAGTTGAATCCGAGTTGCTGAGCAGCAAATTCCTTGTGCCACATTCTGCAGGCAGTTGGTCTCCGCAGCATCATCCCCGCCAGGTGGAACAGCGAGGGCCTGGATGGGCATCTGGGACTCTCCTGGCAAATGCAGTCAAGACGGTTGGTTCCTCCTGGCAGGGTTTTGGGTGGCAGAACACACAGTTTTCCTTCAGCTGCTTGCGCAAGAGCCATCTCGCAGGGCTGAATGGGTGCAGGCTCCGGAGGTGCTGCTCCAGTGGGATCATGTTAACCTTGCAGTCTGTGCTCTTCAGCACTGGGGTGATTTCTGTAACTGCTTTGAGCAGCAGCTTTGGGCTGTTTGGGAGGGATGTGGGGAGGATACAGGGAAGAGCCGGGAATTCACGTTGGCTTTTCTCTGCCAGCGCTGGGGCAGAGCTGGGCGTCAGCCTCCTGAGATGCCAGGCACCACGTTTGTGTTGCTGGGTCTGTGCAGCAGCAGCCGAACCTCTTCTCCAGCCCAGACTTGTTGCCATCCACAGTGACTCAGTGTACGTGGATGTGGGCTCAGCCCAGCGCTGGAGCGCATGGCCAAGGGGTTCTGCTGGCTCAGATGGACGAGGTGAGGCCGGGTGTGTAAAGCCCCATTCCCTGCCTGTGTGCTGGGTGTGGATGGGTTCAGTCACATCCCCAGGCCAAGCTGGGATCCTTGGGCAGCTCTGTGAATGAGGGGTGGGATTATCTGCGGTCTCCTGGGTGCAGGCAGATGACTTCACTGTTAGAAACAGATTTAATGTCCTTAATCAAATATGAACTTTGTTATCCGCACTGATAAGTTATTCCTCTAGCACAATAGCTGCTAGTCTGCCTGTTGTGGTCCAGAGCCACTCACAGAGGCTGTGCTGCAGCCAGCATGGACAGGGTGTTCCAGGTCCCTGCCACCGCTGCAGTGCCCTGGTCTGAGGACAGCAGCTCCTGGGTGTCCCAGCAGGATGGGACCCTCATTCTTGCTTGTTCATGCTGCGTGGTCCAGGACATGGAAGGTGGTCGTGCCCGGATGCTGCCAGGAGCAAGAAGCAGGGGAGTTTTCTTTCCGAGAGGCAGTGGCCTCCGATCAGATCACTGCAGACCCAAGCAGGAGTCACTGAGAAAGTTGTTGTGGTCTCTGGTTTCAGGCTGCTGGCGGGGACGGGAGCTTTAGGGATGGGCAGTGGCACTTCCCTCCATCTGCCCTTGCTAATCCCCAGACAAACGCAGCTCTTCCATCTGTGCAGCCGGAGCCGCGAGCCCATCACACCAGCCACTTAATCTAAATGGCTTTGGCCAAAGATAAGGTCATTAATTCCACTGGGATTAGGAAAACAGCACAGGCCTGGCAGGGCTTGGCGCTCCGTTAAAGTCCTCGGTGCCCTGCCCTGGCCGAGCACCGCAGCTGAAGAGCTTGGGCTGGAGGAGCCCTGTGGCAGAGCATCGTCCCCGTGGACTGGCACCAGGGCTGCTGGTGCAGCCTGAATCCTTGTGTCCGGAGCCAGGGATACAGGGGCAGCATCCCACCATCCGCCTCCCCATCACCTACTGCCTCCAGCCTTCACCAGCCCCTTCCACAGCTCCACATCACGCACTGGAGGTGGGGCTCTCACTTGAGGCCACCATCCCTGGGGCAAAAAGCACCCAAAGCCCCTTTGCTAGTCCCAGATCCAGCGTCTGGCTATGATGTTCCGGGACTTGTGCTTGCTTCCGTTTCCTTCACCTTTTGGTTCCCTTTCCTTGCCGTGTTTTGGCTGTGGAACGCTCCCATCTGCTCATCCCACAGGGAATTTCACCCCCTCGCTGGCGCAGGATGTGCCGCAGCTCCCGCAGACACGCATCAGACCCAGCCGCTGAACCCTGGCCTCCTCCTCAGTTCCCAGTGGGATCACGGTGCTGCGGAGCCCCTGGGGATGGGCTCAGTGGGAGCGAGCCCTCGGGATCCCCAGGCCAAAGGTAACTCCTGGGGTGGGGAAACTGAGGCAGGGCTGGTGCATGGAGCTGCTCTGCGCGCTGCCGGGGCTGGGAGCGGGGCAGGGCGCTTTGGATCCCGTGGCCCATCACTGAGCGCCTCGGCAGCGTTCCAGGCGGGATGCACGGAGCGTGTGGTGCAAGAGCCTGGAAATAAAAGGAGCTGTTTGCTGAGGTGGTGCCGAGCGGGAGCTCAGCCGCTTTGGCGGCAAAGACCCTGGCACCGGGCCTGGAAAACACCGGGATGCAGAGGGATGAGGGCTGCCAGGTCTACCCCCAGCTCCTCATCCCCTCGGTCCCCCCTGGGGCTGCCGTGCTGGTGGACACGGGGCTGAGCCCGGTTGCAACGGGCGCGATGGTGTCCCCGTGTTGGCACCCTGAGCGATGCAGGGGGGTGTCCGGGGGGACCCTGCCCATGCAGCCGTTGCACAGGTGGGGAAACTGAGGCACGGGCACCGTGCATGAGGGCTGTGTGGTCCGGGTGCCACACGCGGGGTGCTCACGGGCCCTGGCGGTGCAGGGGGCTATGGGGCAGCAGCAGGGGCAGCTTTGCGGTGGGAAGGACCTCAGGAAGCGGGGCACGGTGCGGTGGTGGGGCACCAACCCCAGTGACCCCAGGGATGCTGGGCTGAGGGTCCCAGGGGTGTCCCCATGGGGGTGACACAGCCCCGGGAAGCGCTGCCACTGGGCCCTGTGCTGCGGGTGGGGGGCTCAGGCTGAGCGGGTCCCCCCACAACGGAGGTGGCACAAGGTGTGTGTGTGGGGGGACGCACGGGGCTGCTTTGTCGCGGTGTCACAGGGCCATCTGCCGGCAAAGGGAAGCGGCAGCCTCCCAGTGCTTCCAGCGTGAAGGTGATGGAGCGCTGGGGAAGGAAGGTGCCCTGGATCGGCTGGCTTGGGGGGCAGCCCCTCGGACCGGCCCCTGTTCCTTGTCCCTCCAGGAGCTCCTGGTGGTGTCACTGTAGGGTTGAGACATGGCCGGAGGTGGGGTTTGTCCCAGCCGGGGTAAGTGTCGTGGAAGGGGGATGTGGTCCCAGGGGTGTCGTGGATGGGACACGGGGATCGGGATCCAGCATGGTGCAGGGTGCTGGGACGGGACGCAGCAGAGACGGCCCCGCTCCGGCCAGCAGCAGAGTAAATGCCGTTTTATTTCACCCCCAAATAAATCCATGTAGAAAAGGAAAGGTGAGTGGAGATTTAATTGCTCTCATTAAAAGTCTACGAGGGGAGACCGAGCCGTTGCCACCGGTCAGCGCAGGTCTGCAGGGATGCTTGCTCCTCCTCCTCGGGATGACGATGGGGTTAGGGGTGACGCTGCCCAGCCCCAGCACCTGATTGCGGTGTCCCCATGGTGCCACCCGCACCTCGTGTCCAGCGGGGGGGGGGAATTGGGAGGAGGGGTCCCCCCGGGCACAGCCTCGGGCTGCTTTTATCTCTGTGCCTTTCGGCGCATCCCTCCTTGTCCCTTGTCCCTCTGTACAAGATGAGCGCTATGGTCATGGCATCGGCGACCCGGGGACGTGGCGGGGTCGCTCACTGCAGCAGCGCCCGGATCTGTTTGGAGGTGGTGTCGTCGTTGAGGTGCCGCGTGGTGTACCTGGGCAGAGAGGGCACAGTCACCCCACGGCACCCCAGCCCTGCGCCATGGGGGGAGCCCCCGGCCCCCTGCCTCACCTCAGAGCGTTCAGGAGCCCCTCGGTGCTTGTTGAGGGTTGGTCCTTCAAGACTTTAATGCAGCCTTTCATCTGGTGGGGGGAGCGAGAGAGGCTGTGAGAGCCTGGATGTGCTGCAAGGAGCTGGTCCCTTCCTCCCCATCCTCCTCCTCGCTGAGTTCCCCTCCGGACCCGCTCAGACAGAGACATTCCCATAGGGATCATCACCCTGGCATCACATCTACATTGGGATGCCCATGTCAGGGGGGGTGGAACTGCATGATCTTAAGGTCCTTTCCAACCCTATTCCATGATTCTATGGCAGTGACCCCTTGGAGCACCCCATTGCCACTCACGTCGATCTTGGAGGTCTTCGCAAAAGCCCCCACGGGGTGGACGTGGTCGTAGAGGATGATGACACCAACCATGACCCGCATGCAGAAGAGGAGGGTCTCGGTGTTGGTGAAGCGGCTCCGGTATTCTCTGTGCCAGGAGAGGGGCTGGCTGAGCCCGGGGTGGGGTGGGGGGGGAAGCACCCCAGCACCCAGACGTGCCCCCCAACCCCTGTGGGGTACTCACGGGGTTTCCAGCATCACCCTGCAGACGCAGGCCATGGTGCTCAGGCAGTCGGTCGTGTCCTCGATTGGCAGCGTCTTGTTCTGAAACCCAACAGATCCCGGATGCTGTTTCCCCTCCTGGCGCTCCATGGGACCTCCAGCCCCATCTGATGCCATTGGGGCTGGAGGGGGCTTCCCCCACCCCAAGTATCCCCCCCCTCACCTCGGAAACGAACTTGGTGGTGGCGTTGCTGAGTGTTTTGAGCATAGGGGTGGCCTCGGCGTAGAAAAGGGACATCCTGTTGGCCATCTCGTTGTTCACCTCGCTCTCTGCCTCAAGCTGCGGGGGACATGAGGGCGGTGCTGGGGTGGTGGAACCCCCAGGAGCCATCCCCTGCCCTGGGACCCCCCCTCACCTGCAGGTTGTTGATGCGGTTTCGGCTGATGGTCCTTCTGTAGTAGCTGAAGTCATTCTGGATGGCAGGGTTGGTCATCTGTGGAGGAGAGCCCTGCGTTAGGGGTCACGGCCAGAGCCTGCCCCCTGGGGGTCCCAAGGGGCTCATGGGGTTTGAATGGGGGTCTGAGTGTGCAGAGCCTGCAGCCACCCCATGGGTAGGTACCTTGAGCTCATCGAAGCTGAGGGTGAAGTGCAGGATCTCTGCGAACTGCTTGGCCAAGGCTTGCTCCCGCTCGAGGTGCTGGGTCGGGGCGTACGGGGGGCTGGTGAGGGCCTCCAGCAGGCTCCGCAGCGCGTTCTCTGGGGACAAAGCACTGCTGGTCCCCTCCTCCGCATGTCCCCAGCCCCAGCTGGGGAAACTGAGGCACGGGGCAGTGTGGCATCCACCCCATGGCCAGGGCTCCCCCCACTCTGCCCCACTCCTGCATCCACAGAGGGGTGTGGGGTGCAATGGGGGGATGTTCCAGTGTCTGAAGGGGGCTACAAGGATGCTGGAGAGGGGCTCTTCATCAGGGACTGTAGGGATAGGACAAGGGGTGATGGGTTCAGACTGAAACGGGGGGAGTTCAGGTCAGACACAGAGGCTGAGGCACTCGAATGGGTTGCCCAGAGAAGTTGTGAATGCTCCACCCCTGGCAGCGTTCAAGGGCAGCTTGGACAGAGCCTTGCTCGTCGTGGTCTAACGTGAGGAACTGAATGGTCTTCAGGTCCCTTCCAACCCAAACCACCCGGGGATTCTGTGTGTGCCCCCCCCCCCATGGAGGGATGTGGGGAAGGGCCCGGACCTGGGGGCACTCACCCAGGCGCAGGGAGAACTCATAGAAGCGCTTCAGCTTCGCGACGAGCGGGCAGACGGCGCCCCAGGCGCGCTCCTGCAGCCGCGGGTCCGCGGGGTTCTGGATGGCCTGCGGAGGGGGGGAGCACCCGAGGTTGCCCCAGGGCACGGAGGGAGAGTGACCGGGGGGGGGGGGGGGGTCGGGGCTGCACCCACCTCCCGGATCTCCTGCCCCGCGCCCGTGTAGGACTGGAGCTCGGCCAGCACCGCCTGCGCCTCCTCCAGCACCGCGTTCACCGGGTTCCACACCGCAGTCTCGGCCGCCGTCGGCTGCGCATCTGCAGGGCAGAGCCCCGGGGAGAGAAACCCGGAGGGCTCTGAGCGGGGCCCCGAGAGGCGAGAGCCGAGGTGGGGAGCAGCGCCCCGCTCCCGCGGCTCCCCCGCCGGCCCAAAGCCCTTCCTGGCGGGTTTCTCCCCCTCGTCCATCTCCTTGCTCAAGACTGAGCCAAGCCAGAGGCTGGGGAGGGTGGGGGTGAGTCCTGGCTGCCCTGCGACCGTGGTCCTGCACACGGGGGGGGGGGGGGTCCTCGAGCAGCCCCCAGCCCCGACGGGCTGCAAACTGCCCCGGGGAAGAGGTGGGGAGCGATAGCCCCCGGCCATGGGTCTGCGGCCGCGGCCCCCCCCTCCCCGGGGAGACCCCTGGACAGCAAAGGTGAGGGGAGGACGTCTGGGATGGGCGCGATGCGATGGGCGGCGGGGACGAGAACTCAAAATGGTGAGGATGTGGAACTCAGGAGAAGCACGGAACGAAAAAGGGAAATAAAAATCCCATCTCACTTTCAAAGTCAAGGAAAAAATTAGGGCCTTGGTCAAGCTCGTTATAAGTCAACACTTTTAGAAGGTTCCCCATGTGAAACCTGCAAGAGAAGAAACAAGAGGCAAAAAGCATGATGGTGAGGTGGTTCTCGGGGAAGAGGTGCTGGGCTGCGGGAAGCGACCGGCGGCGGCCGGAGCCCCCGTCCGTCCCCCCAGCCCCACGGCTCCCTAGGGCTCGGGGTGACCCCGCGGCTGCTCCCGGCCCCGGCTGCAGCCTCTTCCCCCGCGATGGTGATGAGCGCTGGCGGATGGGGTGATGGAGAGGAAGGAGCAGAGGGAGGAGAGAGCCGAGAGCCGCCGGGCGAAGTGGGGAGCAGGTCCCTCAAGTCTTGGCTGCAGGAGTGTCCCCGCCTCCAGCTGCAGAGCCAGCCCTGACACGGGGGTCGTGGGGAGCCCCCCCCAGCCACATCCCCGTGGAGGGGCCGCGGAAGGGGCTGGAGGTGGGCGAAGGCTCAGAGGCCGCAGGAGGAGCCGGGAAGGTCCCTCACCGTGGGAGCGGGGCGGCTGCGTGACCCCAGCCCGGCAGCTTTGGGATGTGCCGGTGCCGGTGGCGCTGGGACGAGCAGGGGCCGAGGAGAGCGGCTGCTGCTGCGCTGCTTTTACCCCCCCCCCTTGCTCTGGGCCGTGCCCCCGGAGGAAGGTGGGGAGAGGAAGCAAAGGGGGGGGGCGGACTGCGCCGGGTCCCGATTCTGCCGTGGGGGCCGCCGTTTCCCGTACACCCGCGTCCAGCCGGGAAGGTCTGAGCCGTGTCCCAGTTAGCGCGGGCCAGCGGAAGCCGGGGCAGGTCCCCTGGGCTGAACTGGAGTCCCTGAGCCCGGTTCCTCGGATGCAGGCTGCGACCGCAGCACCGCCCGTCCTGCAGCACAGGATCCTTCCCTCCTCCTTCCCCGGCATTCCCGGCCTCCCGCCCGTCCCACACGGCCACCCGGTGCCACCGCATGCGGCTGAGGTCCTCAGGGGCCGGGTCCCGCTGCCAGGACACGGGGGCTCAGCCAGGGAACGTCTCCCCGCACGTTGAGGGATGGGGCAGGGACGGGTCCTGCTCCCCTGCCCCACTCAGCGCTTTGTGGGGCTGCCCCGAGGCGCTGGGGACACCCCGGTGCCTATCCCCGTGGTGCGGAGAGCAGCCGCACCGGTGGCCCCGGCTCCAGCCCCCCCCCACCCCGGGCCCTCCCCGCTCCCGGGACTTACTTTCAAAATCCAGGAAAAAATGAGGGCAGTTTTCTAAGTCTTTGCCCAGTACCTTTATGAGGTTGCCCATGGCCAGCGGACCTGAGCGAGAGAAACACGGCTCAGTGCGACAGCACCGGCAACCGCCGGCTGGAACCCCCCCCCCCCCCCCCCCCGGCCCCGAGCCCCCACCTGCACCCGGCCCCGCGGTCCCCAGCCCCGGTGCGAGCGGCGGCTCAACCGGCACCGAGTGCCGCGGTGGGGAGAGAACGGGGAGCGGAGCACGGGTTGTGAATGGGTGCCCCGTCCCCACAGCCCCCCCTCCAAGGCGCCCCGGTTCCCCCCATAGGGTCAGGCCAATTCCCCAGTGACGGGGCTGGGCACCCCCTATGGACAGGGTAAGGCTCCAATTGGGATTTCAGCCCCACAGACCCTGTTTGGGGTCCCACCCGCTCCACAGCCACGGCCCCTGGTCCTTACCTCGGTGCCCGGTGCGGCGGCTGTGGCAGGAGCAGGGGCTGTGCCACCCGCCTGTCACTTCATGGGCTGGCAGGGACCTGCAGGCAGGAAGGCAGGATGGTCAGGACACCCCATGGGCACCCCATGCCCTTGGGGGAGCCCCATCCCGCACCCTGCCACCGGCCTTCATCTGATTTACCTCCCTTGTTTTCTATTGCCAGCAGCCGGCTGAGCATCCCCATCCCCTTGGGACAGCACAGGGACAACCCCGGGGCTGAGCCATCTGTCCCCATCTCCCCTTGGAGAGACCAAGGCCCCCAGGGATGACATTCCCGGCGCTGCTGGTTGGGTTTGCTCTTTTCCACGCGGTGCATGAAGATCCCTTTATGTTGCTGCTGAGCCACAACCCAAATCCTGCAGGTGCCAGGATGGTCCCCACGTTCCCCCATCTCCAACGTTTCCTAAGGGGATGTGGGGGGGGAGGTCGGAGTTGTCCCCATGGGTTTGGCCCTGGGAAGCAGCTGAGGGATTCAGCAAGTTGTAATTAAGCACTAGGGTTTAATTAATGTGATGAGGGAATGGGAGAGGAAGAGCTGAAGGAAGCAGCAGCAGCAGCTCCCCGCTCAGCCCCAGCTCAGCCCCTGAGCATCAACAGTGATGGCTCTGCCTTCCTCCTCCTCCCAGGCCAGGGAAGCAGTGGTTTTACATTGAGGCTGCACGGGGTGCACCAGGCTGGTGCTACAACCCAGGCTGCTTTTGGGGAGCCAGAGCACCCCGGTTCCCCACTGCACCCCCTGCCTCTATTTACGTGTGCTGTGTGTTTGTACCCTGGAGTGGCACAAAGGCATCGAGGGCTGCCCTGGTGCAGTGACCCCGGGGTTCATCCTGCTGGGTGTTTTTGGTGGGGTTCTGGGCCCCGCAGGATGGTGCTGGGGGTTCCCTGGGGTGCCCAGAGCAGTGGAAGGGGGAAGATTTGCACTCGCTCCTCTGGCACTCACACAGGCTGCGCTCACGCCAGTGCCACGGTTGTCCTTGACAGGCGGCTTGGGGCTGAGATTTGTCATTGCTGAACCCTGCCTGTGCCCAGGGAGGGGGCAAGGACAGGTCCCCACCGTCCCCAGCATGAGGATGCCCTGGCTTGGAGCCTGAGCCGTGGCAAGGGGGCTCAGTGCTGGGTGGGAATATGGAGATGGCTGCAGCCCCCCTGGTCTGCAGGGATGGCTCCACTTGGGGCCCGGTCCCTGATTTGCACCCTCCATGGCCCCAGGTGCTTGGCCCGGGGACCCACGGCACATCCCCCTCGGGGTGCTGTTGGGGCAGGTGAGGGGCTTGCAGCAGTGTTGCTGCTCAGGGCCATGAGCCTGAACTGGGGGCACTGAGCTCCCCAACCCTGCTGGGAGAGGCACCCACCCAGCACTGCTGCCCCCGAGCATCCTTCCCCATGGGAACCCCGTGGAGGGTGTCACCTCCGTGGGGACATCCCAGCTGATGGCCAAATCCTGCACCCAGGAGCATCGCCTCCCACATGCTAGCAGAGCCCTTATTGTCCACCCCAAAGGGGTACCGATGTTCCGGATCAGGCCATTCCGGTGTCACCCGGGGCTGTCTTGGGGCTGTGCCCCTTTGCCATCACTGTGGGCACTGCAGCCTTGTGCAGCACCGCTCCCTGGGCAGGGGCTGGGTGCCCCTTCCCTTGACCGGGCACCACGTCCTTCACACACACACACCCCCCCCCTCCCCGCACCACTGGGTGCCCACTGGGTGCCCACCACCACCACTGAGCCCCTCCTGCCGCTGCCCCCCACCCATGGCCACGCTGGCATCGCCGCAGGGTCGGAAATGCGGTGCCTGAAGGATTATTTCATGGGGGGGGCCTTATCCTGGGAATCAGGGTGCCAGGGCCGGATGCTGCCCCAGGATGAGCCGGGGCATCGGGGTGGAGCTGGGGTTTCCCGGGGCTGTCACCCCCCGCTCTGGGGACCTCCGTGGCTGGAGGGAGAAGTGGGTCCCGCCATGGGGCTCAGCCCCCCCCCCGGAGAGGGGCCGGTGGGGTCCCGGGGGCCTCCGTCTCTGCGGCTGCGGGTGAGCGGCAGGATTTACCGCAGGAGCCGAGCCGCAGCACCCCGCCACGCTCCCGCACCCACCCAGGTCCCCCCCCGGGGCTGCAGCATCATCCCGCCGTGGGGAGCTGCACCCGCCGCGCATCCCCATGCTGGGTGCACCGGGCTTGGGGGTGCAAAGAGGGGCCCTCACACGGGTTTGGGTCCCTGGGGGACACAACCAGCGGCTGCTACAGCCCCCCCCCCCCCCGCCCCGGTCTACAGGCCGGTGCCCCCCATGTCCGGTCTCTCACCGTGTCGGAGGGGGCTGAAGGCGGCGGCCGGTGCCTGCGGGTGCTGCGGAGCGCTGGGAAGCGCCGTGAGCCCTGCGCCAGCGCGGAGCGCACCACAAAGACCACCATAACCCCCCCGGCCCCGACACGGGTGACGGTGACGTCTCCAGTGCGAGCAAGGCGGGGAGGTTTAACCCCCTGCGCGCCGGCGGCTGCCGGGGCCCGGGCTGTGGGTCCCGCTGCGGGGCTGCTCCGTGGTCCTGGGGGACGCGGTGACACCGAGTGGGTGCCTCTGTGTGCCCCCCACCCCTTGTCACAGCTCTGAGCGCGGTGGGGGGGAAGCCCCACGTTTTCCTTAGCCCCCAGCACAGCCCATGGATGGCACCGTGGGGACAGCCACGTAACCCACCCGGTGCCACTGCCGTGGGGACAAACCAGACGCGGGTCCCCGGAACCCCGTTTTGGCCAGGCGGCACCATCCATCCTCCCTCGGGTCCTCCCCGCACCAGGCCAGGAGGGGTTCGTGTGGCTGCTCCCCAAGGGATGATGTCCCCCCCCGTTGGGCACTGCCCCCCCCAGGCCGTGCTGCTGCAGCCCGTAGCCGCTGGGGGAAGCTGCAGCCCTTCGCATCCGCAGCGCCGCTGGGTAACGGGGACTTCGGGAGCTCTGCACCGAGCCCGGGGCACGGAGCTGGGGTGATGCTGCTGCGGGAGTGGGGAGCAAAGGGCAGCGTGGAGCCAGAGCCGTCTGCAGAGCCCAGACAGGCTGGAGCCCCCCTGCTGCCCAGGACCAACATCCCAGTTGAGCCTGGGCTCATGCGAGGGTTTTGGGGTACCCCGATCTAGCCGCTGGGCTCAGCCGGGTGCTCGAGCCCGGTGCTTGAAGGCACCAGCGCGGCCATTCCCATTTCCCCAGCACCGGGACTTGGGGTGTCATAGCCCCATAAAGTTGGGCACCCCAGTACCCTACAGCAGCCCCAGGGCATCGCTGTGGCACCCACAGCCTGGTGCTCCCCAACCTCTTCCAGCCACCTCATGCCCCTTTGGCACAGCCCATCCCATGAGCTGAGCACATGAGAACCAGCCATGGGGTGCTGGGGGGGGGGGAATGCTCATCCCCCTGTGCTCTTGGAGAGGCTCATGGAGAGGTTCTGGGGCCATGTGCCCGGTGGAGGGACCTGGAAGCTGTGGGGCTGAATCACCCCAGCCCAGGTGGGGATGCATCCCTGGCCAAGGGCATGGTGCAGGGATGTGTGTCCAGCCATGGGGTGTCCATTCCTTCTGCCCCCAGCATGATGGGTCCCTGCAGCCCCAATGGGAAAGGGGAGCACCCCATGGCATCCCACAGTCCCCTTGGGAACCAGGGTGTGGGACCAGCCATGGCTGGCTGGAGACTTCATCCTGGCTCAGTGGCCACCAGCTGCAAGGGTGGCACTGGGGTCATGGTGGGATGACCAAGGTCACTGGGAAGAGCCACCAGTGACCGCCATGGAAACACTCCACGTTTGGTTCTGGAGATCAGGGCAGATTCATGGGCCCTTTCCCCTCTGTGCTTGTTGCTGCTCTGCCAAGCAGGGAGGTCCTGGTGTGCCCCCCTCAGTGTGGGGCCTTGCTGGGTGCCTGGCAGGGGGATACAGGCAGCACGGCCTTTGCCAGCCCTCAAGCACAAGGGAAGGGATTTTGGGATGCTTTGGGGTCAGGCACACCAGGAACAGGAGCCAGAGGCAGGTGAGCGTGGCAGAGAGAAGGAAACAAGCAGCAAGTGGCAGCAGGGCAGGGAGTGCAGGAGGGCTCTGCTCACTGGTGACCAGGCTGGCACCCCCAGGCAGGCAGGGCCTGCAGCATCCCTGATGCTGAACCAGCACTGCCTGCATCCCACTGCCAGCGTCCCCCCTGCATCCCACTGCCAGCATCCCCTCAGCATCCCCCCAGCATCCCACTGCCAGCATCCCCCCAGCATCCCACTGCCAGCATCCCACTGCCAGCATCCCCCCAGCATCCCCCCAGCATCCCACTGCCAGCATCCCACTGCCAGCATCCTCCCAGCATCCCACTGCCAGCATCCCACTGCCAGCATCCCCCCAGCATCCCCCCAGCATCCCCCCAGCATCCCACTGCCAGCATTCCCCCAGCATCCCACTGCCAGCATCCCCCCTGCATCCCTGTCTCTCTCCACTTTCCCCTCCAGCATCCCCCAGCTTCCCAGTGCCATTTCCCTCCACCAGCATCCCAATATCCCCCAGTATCCCAATATCCCCCAGTATCCCACCTCGACCCCCCCTCCTGCCCCTCTCGGTTGATTGACAGCGCTCCCAGCCAATGGGCGAACGCTGCCGCCGGTGGGGGGGCGGACGGCCCGCGGCTACAAGAGGGGCGGGAGCGGCGCGGGCAGAGCCGCCGGGCTGGACCGCGGCCCCTCCGGTACCGGCACCGGCCCCGCCGCCGTTAGCGCCGCACGTCAGGTAAGGGCCGCCGGGGCCACGTCACCCCCGGGGCTGGGACTCGGTTCCCCGGGGTTGTCGGGGTCGGTGCCCCGGAGCTACCCCCAGGTGGGCAGCGCAGCCCCCGGCCCCGCCGCCCCGTCCATCCCCTCCCCTGCTCCCCGATGGGTGCCGATCCGGTGGGTGATGTTGGGTGCTGGGACACTCGTGCTGACCCTTCCTCTGTCCTGTTTTGGGACCAACAGCCCGCGGCCCATCATGGTATCGGTGGTTTGAGATGAGCAGCTCATGCCAAGCGGGTGACTGTCCCTGCTGCTGTCCCCTGTCCTGGCATAGCCTGTGCTGGGCCTTGCTCAGAAGGGAATCAAGGTCTGGACCAAAGGATGCTGCTTTTGAGTCCTGGGCTCTTTGAGGGCTTGGCTTGCAGGACACGGTGTGATGCTTCTAGCAAAGGTCCTCACTGCTGTTCCCTGAAGGGAAGAGCTGCCCCTTGGGCTGGTGAGGGGCTGGTGGTGGGAGATGCAGGAGGACATGAGTGTGGTACCCGGTGGGGATTAACCTGTCCCTGCAGGTCAGAGCTGGGCTCTGATGCCAGGAGGGCTCGTGCAGCTCCACGGCCGAGCTGGGCATCACTGGGAAGCGTCGTGCTCTGTGGGTGTCTGAATGTCTCCTCAGTGCTGGCTGCCGAGGGGTGGTGGGTTAAGCGCTGCCACAGCAGACGATGACAGATGCCGGTGGGATGATGGGGCAGGAAGCAGCCTCTGCCTGCGGGAGTCGCTGGGAGGGGGCTGGATGGAAGCCTCACATTCCTGCGGGGGGGAGGCTTGTGCCCATCGCAGGGTACCCCCTTGTCCCTGAGCCCACATGGCCAGGAAATCAGATGCTTGGATGGGAGATGGAGCTTGGTCAGGCTCCAGGTTAACTTCTGCTCAACTCCACGGAGAGAGGAGCTCCAGGAGCTCTTGGCAAACCATCTGGTGCTCGGGCTGTGCCGCGCTGGCAGCCGGCGCTGCGTGGGAGCGGGCACGGCGTGTATCGGAGCGGCTCCATGGTCTGCCCACACAGACACAGGCTCTGCCCGTGCCCCACGGCACAGCCCGTCCTCACCCCCTGCTCGGCCACCAGCTGGGCGCTGTGAGGCCAGCGGTGCCAGGGAGGGTTTGTGCTGCCTCTCCTTTGTCCCATCTTTAGAGGGCAATGGACATCATGGTGTGGGGTTAACCAGCTGCCGGGGTGGAGGGAGGGCCTGGGAGCACCAGCCCTCTCCATGCCTGCTGTGTCAGACCCATGCTTTCCCTCCCAGGGGCAGCCATGGGCAAGCACAGCAGCAAACTGGCCCCGGAGATGCTGGATGACCTGGTGAGGAGCACGGAGTTCAGCGAGCAGGAGCTGAAGCAGTGGTACAAGGGCTTCCTCAAGGACTGTCCCACCGGTATCCTCAACCTGGAGGAGTTCCAGCAGCTCTACATCAAGGTGGGCTCCACTGGATGGGGCTGAGAGCTGCCTCCAGGGCTCCAACACCCTGTAGCTCCCCCTCCTCATTTCCACCTCTCTCTTCTCCCCTCCCTGCAGTTTTTCCCCTATGGAGATGCCTCCAAGTTTGCCCAGCACGCGTTCCGCACCTTCGACAAGAACGGCGATGGGACCATCGACTTCAGGGAGTTCATCTGCGCCCTGAGCGTCACCTCCAGGGGCACCTTTGAGCAGAAACTCAACTGGGCCTTTGAGATGTACGACCTGGATGGGGATGGGAAGATCACGCGCTTGGAGATGCTGGAGATCATTGAGGTACCGGGGCTCAAAAGCAGCAGGGGTAGCTGGCTTTGCCCAGGCTTTTCCCAGCTGTTGGGTCCTTTTGGCACTAAAGGATGACTTTTCCTGCCCAGAGCTTTGTCTGAAAGGTACCTGCTGAGCACCTGATGTAGCTGTGCAGCAACATAGCTCATGTTGGCTCCCAGAAAGCAATGGTCATGTCCCCTGCCTTGTCTTGGAACCTTCTGTCCATCCAACATTTCCACTCTGATCCTTTGCTCCTCTTGTTCCTGCAGGCCATTTACAAGATGGTGGGGACTGTGATCATGATGAGGATGAACCAAGACGGGCTGACACCGCAGCAGCGCGTCGACAAGATCTTCACAAAGATGGACAAGGACAAGGATGACCAGATCTCCCTGGAGGAGTTCAAGGAGGCAGCGAGGAGCGACCCCTCCATCGTCCTCCTCCTGCAGTGTGACATGCAGAAATAGAGCCCTGCGGGGTCGGGGCTGGACTGGCTGCAGCCAACCTCTGCTCCCTGGGATGGGTTTTCCACATCCCTGTTCCCGCTGAGTGTCCCTGTGCCCGCTTTGCCCCAGGCATGAGCCATGCTCCGTCCGTCCTTCCTGCCACCCATCCCCACTGCATCCTTGGCAGCCTGCGGCCCAGGGGCTGTAGCTCTCCCTTGATGGATAGAGCCTGCTCTGGGTACTGTGGGCTTGAGGTTATCCCCAAATCCACCCTCTCCCATTTGGAGCTGGACTCCCTGCAGCCAATGGTGCATGTCCTGCCATCCAGGACCAGTTGTTCCCATGTCCCTGCTGCTTCCTCCTGGCCTGTTCCCTGATCTTAACTGAACCCAGCTCTTTTCCTTTGCTGCTGATTCTCCCCCCCACCCCATTTCATTGCTTGTGGTGCCTACAGGGAGGCTGAAAAGTCCCAGATCCTGCTCCTGGTCCTTCACTGGCAATTCCCTGCCTGGAAGGCCCAGGGCTGGCTCCGGGGTGCTGGGAGCTCAGGCAGGGTGCTTGGTTTCATTTCTTCAGCTCTGCTTTGGCTGCTGGGAGCAGCCAGGATTTGTCAGGGTACTTTAGGGGACAGCAGCAGTGCCCAGGGCCACCCCTGGATGTGGCCAGTGTCTGATCCCAGAAGCCACCTTCCACCCCATCACCTTGGGAGCTGGCAGAGCAAGTGGGTGACCTCCACAACTGCCCCAGCAGCATCTTGGATGCTCTGTGGAGGTCCTGGATACTGAGCTGTGGCCTGGGGTCCCACATTGAAGGCAGGGACTTCTGCAGGTTGCCCTGGGGCAATGACAGGAGTGTGGGTGTTGAAGGCATGTCCTGGTGCATGGCACTACAGGGCACCGGGGCTGTGGAGAGGTGTGGATGGGCTCAGTACCTGCTGAGCCTCCTGGCAGGGCTCTGAGGCCACAAGAAACTTGTCTGCCTCCTTCCTCCCCCCACCCCAGCCTGCTGCCTCCATCCCTCCTGCCCAAGGACAGGAATATTGTCACAGGCCGGTATTTAGTCTGCACGCTGTGGTGGTTTTGACTGTAATGTTAAATGGTGAAGTTATCTATTTTTTTAATGGGAAAATAAACTGTCCCCCATGTGTGGTGCTCCCCCAAAAGGCTGCTGGGGAGAGTGGGTTGATAACGCTGCGCTCTGAGCATCATTCATAGGTATCATCTGTGGCACTCCAAGAGATGGAGAAGCCCTCGGGAATAGCACAGTTGGGTTCAGATGGGTGAATTTGAAACCCTTCAGCCATGCAGGTAGCTTTGGGGAGGAGGATGTTACCCATCCGGGGTGGATCTGTGCTGGAAATGCGTTTCCCTTGGCAACCAGGAGCTGGACCCTTGCTGTGTCCAGGGCTGGGCATAGCCTGGGGACCTGGTGGCTTTGTCCTGGGCACCATCCCAGCACCACCAGCAGCTGGGACCTGCAGCCACTGTATCCTCATCCTCCTTCTCAGCCTTCTCTTCACCCCCATCTTCCCTGCACGTGTCTTCCTTTGGCCTTTTTCCTCCATCAGCAGCCAGCAGGGACCGTGCCTGTTGCTAGGGAGCTCTCACCAGCTTGGAGCACTTCTCCATAGTGAACAGGCAGGGCTGGCTCCTGGCTGGGTGCTTGGTCACCCTGCACCCACCAACATCTCATCCGCCCTGCAGCACCCGAGCGCAGCGATGCGAGATGCCCAAGCCAGAGCAGTGTGTGCATGTTTAGGAGTGCTGCTGGGGAGGGAGCTCTGCACCTTGGGCTTGCCTGGGCTCTGTGTGTGTGTTTGCAGCTCAGCAGTGCCTGGGGAAGGGGGGACAAGGGACACCAGGGCATTGCTGCTGTGCGGGAGCCTGGGGATGTGCCAGGGCTGCTGTTGGAAAGGGCAGCGACTCAAGCTGGGACTCAAGAATGGCCTCAGTGATCCTGGGGCCCTCAGAGCTCCTGCTTCCCTTGAGGCCACCCCAAAGCAAGCTCAGGTATGTCCCAGGAGGGACCTGCAAAGGGAAAAGGAGCCTTTGATGAGGCTGAAATGATGGTAAAATCCAAGGAGGGCATCCCAAAGGGTTTGGGATCCAGGCAGCTGGGTGAGGCCTGGAGCCAGCCCTGTTCACCTCACCTGGCCGGGCTCTTGTGGCTGAACTTCAGTGCAAGCCAGGTTGTGTTTGGTTGTCTCAAGGGCAGGGAAAAGGGGGGTCCCTGAGGCTGTGGTCCATAGGGGCAGGGCTGGCGCTCAGCTGCTGACACAGAGCTTTGGGTAAAACCCTTCTGCTGAGCTCGGTGCTGCGGCTCTGCCCTGTGCTGGGTGAGGTGAGGTGGGATCCTCCATCCCTTGGCTCTTCCTGCCTGTTGGGTTTCGGTCTCTGGGGTTCACTCCCTGCTCCCCAGGCCCTCGGGGGGGTTGTGGGGTGTGTGTCTATTGGTCCATTTTCAGCCCTAGCTCTATGCACAGCTTTGGTAGGACTCAACCCCACCGGCTCTTGTGGGAGAACGCTTAGTGAAGAGCCCTCATTAATACCCACATTCATTCCATCAACCACACACAGCGCAGGGCACTCACGGGCTCCTGGTCCTGACCCTTCCTTGGGCTCATTCAACTCCCCGGTGCCCCCCTGTGCTCTGCAGGGGTGAGCAAACCCCGGCGACCACCGAGAGCCCCCCGGTGCCACCCGTAGGTGCCCTCCCCGCGCTCTCTGCTGGTGCCACCCCGTCCCCAGCCCTTTCCCTTCGCTCCTCGGCGTTTGCAGCCCCCGGCGCTGACTCTGCCCCGGAGCGACTCCGGTGTTCGGGGGGCGGCGGGCTCGGGCTCGGTCCCGAAGCGGTTAAACCGTGGCCCGGTGGGCTGAAACCCCGGAGCTTCATGGGATGCCTTATAAAGCGCGTTCCGCCGAACGGCCGCGGCTCCGGGAGCGCCCGGTACGTGCGGACCCGCCGGTGCCCCGGAGCCGCCGCGCTATGGAGCCGCCGGGAACCGCCGGGGCGCCGGGCGCGGCGGGGCGGCCCTGGGAGGAGGCCAAAGCGTTCTACGATAACCTCGCCCCCAAGAAGAAACCCAAATCGGTGAGAGCCCCGCAGTGCCCCCGACCCAGATGGGAGCCGGCCCCTCTGAGTGCTTCCCCTTTTCTCCCCGCATCCCCATCTCCTTCGGGTCCCGCTGGGTGCCCCATCTCCTGCAGGTGCTCTGGGGTCCTCCTGGGTGTTTCATCTTCTCCTGGTCCCCCGTGGAACCCGCTGGATGCCCCATGTCCTCCGGCTTCTCCAGGGTCCCCCTGCGTGTCTCTGTTTTTCCCTTGAGCCCCATCTCAATCCAGGCCCTTGGGGAATCCCTGCCTCTCTCCAGGTGCTCCCACTCTGTGGCATCACTCATTTGCCCGATATCTCTCAGGATCCCTGCAGTCTCTCTGGGTTCCCGCAGGTCCCCGGCTCCCTCCTGGGCTGAGGTGTCCTTGCAGAGCGGCTCCGTGCCCCAGGAGCTGCCTGTGCCAAGGCAGGAGGCCCTGCCAGGGACAGGAGAGGTGGCTGCAGCGGAGCAGGGGGACAGTCGAGTCCCTGCCCGGGGTGTCACAGGGGTAGAGAGGCCCCTGCCAGGCTCGCCTGCTACGGGGCGATTAGAGGTAAAGCCTGCGTTATCTAACCAGGGCTGAACATGGGAGCGCCTGGAAGCGCGCCCGTAGCTGCGGAGCGTGAGGCTGGGCCCCCTCGGAGCCCACCCGGCCACGGCCAGCCCGGGGGCTGCGGGTCCCTGCGGTGTGGATGTGGGGAACGCGGGGACAAAGCTCTGCCGGGCAGCAGCCGCCGTGGAGTCCGTGCTGGGACCCGGCTGCAGCCCCCGGGGCTGCCAACCCTCAGCGCTGCGGCCGTCGCCCTCCCCGGAGGAGAGGGGCAGCCTGGCTTGGTGGTGGGATGCCGCTGGGTGCTCTCGTTTCGTGCTGTCATCAGCCCAGGCTCCTCCTCTTCCTCTCCTTGTGACCAGCGCGCCTTTCTCTGCTGTACAGCTGGGGAAACTGAGGCACGGGGCACCGATGTGGTGCCTCCTCTTTTCTGGGTCTCTCTGGGTGCCCCATCTCCTGCAGATGCTCCAGGGTCCTCCTGGGTGTTTCATCTTCTCTGGGTTCCCCATGGAACCCTCTGGGTGCTCCATGTCCCCCAGCCTCTCCAGGGTCCCCCTGCGTGTCTCTGTTTTTTCCTGGAGCCCCTATCTCAATCCAGGTCCTTGGGGAACCCCTTCGTCTCTCGAAGTGCCCCCACCCCTCCATGGCATCCCTGGGTTGCCTTTGGTTGCCTGGGATCAATCCGGCTTGCCCCCATCTCCCTGGATTCCCTCAGCTCCCTGCGTGTTCCCAGATTCCCAACAGCAGATCTGAGATCCCTGCATTCAGGACTAGGCTACGTTATCCTCCATGTGGGGCTGGAGGCAATTCCAGCCTGGACCCATGCCCTTCCATGGGGCAAGCTGGGGACCCCTGTGCCCATGGCCAGCAGCTCGGCTGCCGTCACACAGCACAGCGCTGCCAGGCAGCTGCCGGGGCCGTGATGGATGCCTTCAGGGCACTCTCCGAGTATAAATAATGCCTCTGGAAAACTCAAAGCCATCCCAGCCATTGCCCTGCACTTTAATCTGATCCCGAGCAGGGGGCTCGCACCCGCCCGGGGCTCCCTTTTGCATGTGGGCAATGGAGCTCGCTGTCACCCGTCCCCGTGGGTCTGTTGGTCCCCGTGGGTCTGTCTATCCTCCTGGCTCAGCGGCTCTGGCAGCCGGAGCAGGGTCCGGTGATGGGGGAGCAGGAGCGAGCTGTGGGCTCCGCTCCTCCTGGACGCGGGCTGTAAGGCGCAGGACCCCGTTCCAGGCTGGGATATGGGTGGACAGGACGTCCCCATGGGGCTCCCCGGCTTTGCAGGGGTCTCTGCTCTTCCCAAGCCTGCTCCCACCTCGCTGCTGGCAGCCGGGGAGGTCAGCGATGGGACCTGTCACCCCTCAGCAATGCGGGGTATGTCCCCTGGCCTCTCCAGTGACACTGCAGGGAGGAGAGGCCGGGATGGTGGGAGCTGGAGCTGCTCTGCCCGTCCCCTGCACCCATGGGGACCCAATCCGGCTCCCTGGGGTGCTCAGTTTTGGGGTGTTTTAGGTGCGGTAGGGACCATGCTTGAGCCTGGAGCAAACCCTTCCCTTTCTGTGGCCAAAACTCACCAATATTCATCTTCAGTTTGGCCACAGCTTTGGTCTTCTGCAGCATCCAGGGAAGGGCCAGGGTTCCTCCAGGTTTTTAGGGTCAAGGTGGGTCCTTGATTCAGCTCCAGGCAGTGCAAAAGGTTCAAGGGGTGCAGAAGGGGATCCCTGCTGTGGCTCGTCCTCAGAGCCAGCCAGGGAGGGCAGTGCTGGTGTTGG